AAGCTGCAGATTCAGTGCCATCGTTTGAGATACACTCTTCTCAGGGGAGGGGCAGAGGGTGCCGTTATTATAAGACAGTACATTTAATTTATGTTCGAGAAGCATCTCATCGTGATACCACCTACTAACCCTTATAAACATGTGCTTGCTGTCTTCAGTTTTCCTGAGGATGAAGGAGAGAATTTAAAATGGAAGTGGCCAACCAGTCTGCTGTGGCAGAGTTTGTCTTGCTGGGGCTGTCCGATCAGCCAACGCTTGAGAAAACCTTCTTTGTGCTCATCTTGTTGACGTACCTGGTGATCCTACTGGGTAATGGAGTCCTCATCCTGGTGACTGTGTTCGACTCGCACCTGCACACACCCATGTACTTCTTCCTGGGGAACCTCTCCTTCCTGGACATCTGCTACACGACTTCTTCTATCCCTCTAGTCCTTGATGGCTTTCTGACTCCCAGAAAAACCATTTCTTTCACAGGCTGTGTGGTGCAGATGTTTCTCTCCTTTGCCATGGGAGCCACAGAGTGCGTGCTCTTGGGCATGATGGCGTTTGATCGCTACGTGGCCATCTGCAACCCCCTGAGGTACCCTGTGATCATGAGCAAGGCAGCCTATGTGCCCATGGCTGCTGGCTCCTGGTTGGCTGGTGGGACCAACTCCTTGGTACAGATTTCTCTTGCAGTACAACTGCCCTTCTGTGGGGACAATGTCATCAACCACTTCACCTGTGAGATCCTGGCCGTTCTCAAGTTGGCCTGTGCTGACATCTCTGTGAATGTGATCAGCATGGGGGTGGCCAATGTGATCTTCCTGGGGGCTCCAGTTCTTTTCATCTTTGTCTCCTACGTGTTCATCCTCACCACCATCCTGAGGATCCCCTCAGCTGAGGGGAGGCGAAAGGCCTTCTCCACCTGCTCTGCCCACCTCACGGTGGTGGTCATTTTCTACGGGACTATTCTTTTCATGTATGCCAAGCCCAAATCCAAGGACCCCCTGGGAGCAGACAAGCAGGATGTTTCAGACAAGCTCATCTCCCTTTTCTACGGGGTGCTGACTCCCATGCTCAACCCCATCATCTACAGCCTCAGAAACAAAGATGTCAAAGTGGCTGTGAAGAACCTCATCAGTCAGAAATGCTTCGTTCCGTGATGGTGGGAGAACGTGATGCATCCGGTGGGTCTGTGCGCACAGGAAAAGAGCAATGACTATCTGACAAACACAGAGGTCCACCACAGCCATTCGTTTCATCACAAACCTGCCCAAACAGAAGAGCACCGAGATGGAGTTTCCTGAGTAATTGATCAGGGCACACTCACTCCCTTCTTATGGTAGTTAAACAACTTCAAAAAATATTTTCGAGTTGGGCAACAAAGTATATCTTTTATATCCAACAACTCACATACATTTTGTTTGCTTTCATTCATGGAAATATCCTCAGTGTAACCTCTCTCATTCCACTTCCTCCCTGGGTCTCCGATTTCCATTTCTTCTTCTTTCACCACATTACTGAACTTTGTGTAAATGATGCCCTTTTGGTAGCAAAAGGCTGATCATTCTAAGGTGTGTGTACATCACTAGTGTTAATTGTTCCCTTGCCTATTAATTGGCTGAAAACTGAGTCACAGTTTCATTTCCAACCTGAACGGTGACTGTGGGCCATGGTCTCAAGCGTTCTCCCAATCTCTATCTGGTCTTTTTTTTTTTTTTTTTTAATTGAGTTCGTTCTGCATTTACCCCCCACTCTCCTTAGGACTTTCTGATGTGATCCCTTTCAGAGCAGTTGTAGGGGTAGCCAGTCGCCATCTAGTTCTGGTCTCAGATTTTTGCGTTGTCTGTTAGACCATTAGTCTTTGATTGTCATCACTCTTCTTTCTTCTGGGCTGGGAGACGCCAACAGTTGTACCTTAGATTGTTGCTCATGAGTTTTTAAGTCGCCACTCACCAAAGTAGGATGTCAAGCCTTGTCTTTGGGGATCTATTATGTCCATTGATCTTGGAGGGGACTCCCACGCTTTAGGATGAAGAGGAGGTTATGTGAGATCACCTAGAACTGAAAAAGTGACTATTATATTTTATTTTTTTATCCAGACAAAAATAAGTTTTAATAAAGGTTAAACTTTGTGGAAATGTATTTACAGCTTTATTTATATGCAGACCTGCTACACTTTGTATGTGCCGATTGTATTAACATTTTATGCTGCTATAATGAGAGAGGAAACGCTACTTCTCCATTAGTCCAAACTGAAGACATAGCTGGTATTGTGGAGAAATACTGACCCTAAGATTCATTCCCAAATGATACCCTTTAACACTTTCTTGATTGCTGAAGCTCAGAGTATTTCCTGGACACTGGTAACAATCACTCAAATCTACTCTACTTAGGTGAGGCATACGCCATTGTGGCTAAGAGCTTGAACTCTGGACTAACATGAGGGTAGGGAACTCTGCCCATGTAAGTTTGGGCATGTTAGATAAATTAGCTAATTTTTCAGGTCCTGGGTTTTCCACTACATAAAAATGGAGATCGTTAAACCATTCTGGTAGTATTATAAGGGATTACTTAAAATGAAGTATGCATTAATGTTTGCCACTGCTCCCCACCCCCAACAACATCATGATACATGGAGGAAAGATTGGAGTTGCCAAGGATTCCATTTGATTTGGATCCACATTCATCGCTCATGGAAGCAGCAGTCAAGAAACCAAGTGATGTATTGCATTGGGCAAATGGGCAACAGACGATTTCTTTAGAATATTAACGAGCCAGATGAGTCAATCAGGATGCAGTGTAGCAGTGATGAAACACAACTTTCCTCTAGTTCTGTAATGCTTCCTCCCCCACCACTATCATGACCCCAATTCTACCTTACAAATCCGGATGGGCCAGAGGATGTACACTGGTACAATAGGAACTGGAAACACAGGGAATCCAGCACAGATGAACCCCTCAGGACCAGTGCTGAGAGTGGTGATACCGGGAGGGTAGAGGGAAGGTGGGGTATAAGGGGGGAACCGATAACAAGGATCTACATGTAACCCCCACCCCTGGGGGATGGACAACAGGAAAGTGGGTGAAGG